CGATTCAGGATGCGACGAGAACTTTTTCTTCGTATCCTTAATGATGTCAAAGCTTATGATGACTACTTTGTCCAAAAAAATGATGTGACTGGTCGTCTGGGGTTGTCTTCTATATAGAAGATGACAACTGTTGTTCGTATACTCGTATATGGTTGTATAGTCGATTACTATGATGAGTATATTAAAATGGACGAGAGCATTACCATTAAATGCTTGAAGGTATTTTGTAATACTATTGTTACTGTGTATGCGGAGGAGTATATACGCCCACCCAACGAAGCCAACATAGCACGGCTGCTTGAAGAAGGGAAGTAGAGAGGATTTCCGGTTATGCTTGGTTCTATCGACTATATGCACTAGGAGTGGAGGAATTGCTCAGTGGAGTGGCAAGGCACATATAGGGGACGATCTTGCAAGAATACTCTCATATTGGAAGCAATTGCCTCACAAGATTTGTGGATCTGGCATGCATTTTTCGGAATGCCGGGTTCACACAATGATATAAATATGTTGGATTATTCCTCGGTATTCAACGGTATCGTCAATGGCCAATTACCTCCGATTAATTATGTAGTGAATGGACATCATTATAGAATAGGGTATTACCTGTCTGATGGTATATACCCTAAATGGGAAACTTTGATGCAGACTATCCCGCACCCAACCACTATAAAAGAAAAATTATTTGCTCAGCGACAAGTGGCAGCAAGGAAAGATGTGGAATAGGCTTTTGGGGTATTACAGATCAAGTGGGCAATAACGCAAGGACCAGTGCGTTACTAGGAGAAAGATAACTTGTGTCTCATAATGAAAACGTGCATCATCCTTCACAATATGATCATTGAAGATGAGCGTCATGCAAATGTTGGAAAATGGACTTCACCATTGGAGGATGCAATCCTGATTCCCACTTTAAGTCGATGCCCAGCAGTTTTAGCGGCGCACATATCCTCTCGCCAACTACAGATTCGCAACAGAGAAACAAATACGTGGTTGAGGAATGATGTGATACCCCTGAATTTCCGAATGCGGGTTGGCCAGGCCCACGCCCGAATACCCGAGGATATCAAAACAAATTGATAATAAACGAACACAGAGTACAAAAGAATAAAGAAGAATAAATAAAATGCTGACAAGAAACTAAAATGATAATCTAATAATAAACCTCATAATATATTTCCATTAATTAATAAACTCTTCTGATACAACTGATCCTCCAAAATACAACTCGGGAATCCATACCGTGTGGACCCCTAGAAAATCCAAACTAAACAAATGACAGTAATCTAAAACAGGAAACTGAATCATAAAAGAACTCTTATGTAGCATCGGAAGAATGAAGTAGACTGATCACCGCTCAGCAAGAACAACCTCTACTCGTGACGAACACCTGAAAAATAATGGTGGGTCAGGCCTACAAACAAGTTCTACTCTACTACAGTCCAAGCAGAGATCCGATACACGTATACATCCTAGTCAATCCAACAGTAACTAGTAGTCCGTATATATATATATACACACTAAAGGAACCTCACTAGACTATAGGGTTGTCTCAACCTGAATAGTAGGCAACATGCAAAACGCACATATAGTGGGCATGAGTACCTAAACCTACCAGGGTATACAACTACACTATATCTAGCTACACATCTCTGGCGATATACGCGCCCTAACCATTGATCCTGAGACTCAAGCTCATATCATGGCACCATACTTATATATATATAATTTAGTAACCATCCTATCCAGTATAAATTAATCCTCCATAAGTCATTCAACTTGTTCAGCTGACCTAACTTGAATATAAGTAAGACTTAACATTTTAGTTAATCCATTCCCTTATATAATAAATTAATCCTCCATAAGTCATTCAACTTGTTCAGCTGACCTGATTTGAATATAAGTAGGACTTAACATTTTAGTTAATCCATTCCCTTATATAAAATAGGTAGGACTTAACTGATAAGTTAATCCGTCCCTAGAATGCCACCGTCCCATACCGGTGCATTAAACCACATAATATAACAATTGATGTAACGATTAAGGAAATACATCAAATATTCCAGAAATAACTATGATAATATGATATCAAGTTATCACAAAATAGGAATGACTTATTATTTATTTAAGCTTCCTATATCATATGTCCTACACAAACTGAATCTTATACATGATGATATTTTATTATACCGTCAAATAAGCATTCTCCGTATCCAATTCATCCTACACATTTAATCTCAAGTGCTTAAACATATTAAAAGATTAAATTCATTCGTTTGTTTAAAACATTCAAATAGCAAGCATCATTATGATTGAGTCTATTTAAATTTATTTAAACCCAAACCTAGTTCCTATTTAATGTTCAGGAATTCTAGGCATGTTTCTACGTTCCATCATTCCACAGATATGAAAAAATACATAATGTAAACATATAAAAATTCACACCGAAAATCAAATCAAAATCATGCATTTATCAATTCATAACACAAGAGCAGATATGAACCAATTTCATAAAACCTATGTTCTAATCCAATTAAACATGCATAATTATTTAATTTTATGTGTTTAATAAATCCTGAAATTTCCTAGGCATGCATAGAAACACGAATCAAAGGGAAAGAGATAGAAGAAGAACTTGTTTTAAACTTTCGGATCGAAAGTTAAACTTCTTCTTCCTTGATCTTCTCTCTACAGAGTTTTTCTCCTTCTTCCTTCCTTCTCTAACTCTCTCTCCCTAGAATATATCACGTGAATATTTCTAACCCCCTTTTTCAACCTGTAGCTATATATTTATAGGCTAAATAAAATAACCCTAACCCTTTTCCCAATCCAAGTCAACTTAAAAAAAAATAAAAAAATAAAATATTAAAAAGGTAAGTAAAATATGTTACGTATATAATTTATGTATATCTTTATTAAATAAATAAATTATACACATCCTATTATTTATTAATGGATTATCCAATAATACTTAAGATACCATAATATTATAAAGTAACTTAAAATATAACATGTATCAAATCTATGTATATTTAAATATAAAACATATACATCAGATTAAATATTACTACCTAAGTTACCATAAAAGTAATTAATAAATTACTTTCCCTTTTATATATATTAAAAAGGTAAGTAAAATATGTTACGTATATAATTTATGTATATGTTTATTAAATAAATAAATTATAAACATTCCATTATTTATTAATAGATTATCCAATAATACTTAAGTTACCATAATATTATAAAGTAACTTGAAATATAACACGTATCAAATCTATGTATATTTTTATTATTTAAATATAAAACATATATATCAGATTAAATATTACTACCCAAGTTACCATAAAAGTAATTAATAAATTACTTTCCTTTTTATATATGTATATAATATATATCTATATATATACATATACAACTATTCACGGGTAATAATCCATACACATCCAACCTCCTATCCAAGTAGTCCATGGGACCCAATTGGTTGGCCAATTACCACTAACCATAACCATAAAAGAAAAATAAAATAAAATAATAAAAGAAACGAAAACATTTAATTTACAATTAATCAAAATATCATTTAAGTACGTAATCTAATTAAACAATTAACACATAGACAAATACAAATAATACATAGACACATAATCAAATAATCAAGTAATACCTAATTCAATTAAACACATAAACAATTAATCAAATAATCAATTAAATAATTAAAAATATAATTAAAACAAATAAATAAATACCGAGACTATCCTTTTAAAATTAGGGGTATTACAAATGATTTGATGAAAAATTTGTGGAACCGCTATGCTGATGAAGAAGTTTAATTTATGTTGCATTTTGTTTACTTTTAAAATGTTATGACATTTCGCGTACTAGAATTTTTATTATGCAATGGTTTTGTAAGATTAAAAATAATGAATTGGAATAAGAAAATAAGTATTACAAAATTCTATGGGAATAAGTAAATGAATTTGTAATTTTTATTATTTATTTTACAAAAAGTGTTAAAAAAAAAAAAAAACGGCTTTTTTATTTATTTATTTTTGGCCCAAATAAATAAGGATTACAAAATAATGAATAGGAATAAGAAAATAAGGATTACAATTTAAAGCAAAAAAAAAAAAAAAAAAAAAACAAAAAACAAATTTTAAGGAAAAAAAAAAAACTTTTTGAATTTATTTTTGATCCAAATAATTTTTTTTTTCGATAAATAGTGCCTAATCAATATATTTTTTATTTAATGAATATTATTTTTAATTTTTTTTTTCTAAAGGGATATAAAAATAACCTATTTTTAAGTTTTAAGAAAAAAAATAAAAAATAAAAATTTCTAAGACACTGTTTGGCGCACCATGTAGGAGTTGGAGAATAAGACAAAAATAGGGACAGCCCAAAACGGTGCCGCTTTGAAAAAAGAAAAAGAAAAGAAAGGGCAGCGATCGCGAGCAGGCTCGCTGAATACCGCAAGCCTGCCGCGCGTGAAAATGGGCCCTACCAATTTTAACTAGCCCGCTGCATGCCCAAACAGTCTATTGGAATGGATTTTGAAGAGCCCGCTACGGATGGCGTTAGCCGGATATGTTTTGGTAGGGTCCACTCATTATATGGATATATATAATTTATGTGTGTGTCATGTATATGCCCCATTTTTTGAGCCAAAAATGTCCATTAGTTTATACAATAATTTATACATGTGTTTTTTTCTATTATTATTACAACCTTATAAATATTAGTGTGAATAAATATTTTTTGTACAAAATATTTACATATCGATGCAACGATAGTTTTGTCCTAATGGAGAATGGATGTTTTTCATTAACCTCCTGATGTTATTCAATATTATATTGAATTTAAGGGAAAACTAGGAAATTCTCTGTATTTCTAACAGAAAAATATTCAAGATGTCACCCCTAGAAAGATCAGACTCCGGGCTTTTAGATTCATCTGAATGAAAAGGAAATATAACAATTAACAAAGAAACCACTAAACGAAAATGAAAAAGTAAATTAATAAAATTTTAGTATTATACTAAAAATAAAATAAATGAAAATTTTCAACTATCCAACATTTAATACCAAATAAACTTACAAGCCATAGCTTATACAAGCATATAATTAAAGAATTACCAAAGCTGCTCCAGCTTATACAAACATATAATTAAATTATTACCAAAGTTGCTCCAGCGGAAGTTTGGTGCCAAGCTTCTTGGCATGTTTCCTTGCTACCCTTTTCCCTTTGGTCTCCATGAACTCCCATGGAGTTCCTATTAGAAGTGGTTGGCGAGAATCACAAGTAATCGTCTCAAGATTGATAGCACTCTTAATTAAATACATTGCAAGTTCAACATCACTTGTAAGCCCAACAAAACCAATTATTTCTACCACTTTAAGGTACTGATGGGGCTGAGATGTAAACATGCTATGTTTTAATTTCCGAGTGCTCTCACACCATTCCAGCTGTAACAAGGAGGAATGCAGTCACATGGTGGGCAGATGATTATTAGCATACAAAACCAAATTACCAAGCATCAAATCATAATTGTTAAAAGTTAAAAACATGACATTGCTAGAATCAATGGAATAACCACCACCAGCTCCAACAAGGCTGTTATACATATGACTGAAGACCATTAGCATAAAAAACCAAATTACCAAGCATCAAATCTTCTGTAAGTTAGAATCACAACATTGCCAGACTTAATGGAATAACCACCACTGGCGAAATCGATCGCGTTAGACATAAGAAAACACTGCGTTAGAAAGGAATTCACACTATTCTTAAGAGCAATAAAACTCAATCTAACCGAATAAGGTTATAGACCTCAAGAGGTTCTACTCTGGGAGGAGTTCTTGAACCATCATCAAAATAAAGCAATCTAAGAACATGGAACATATTAAAAGACCATGTATAACTCCAAGGCAGTAAAAATTAAACCAACACGGGAACAACAGAATGATAAACATTCAGTTATAAAATACTTGAACAAGAGAATAGAGCAAGCTAAGCTAAGCTAAACACTTGTAAGAGCATTTTTCCAATTACTGGTCTAAATTTTGTAATAGCTATAAAGAAGCAATTGATTGGAAAATTGAAAGCTTTTAAGTTGAAGTCCAAATGAATCAAAATTTTCATTTGAAAATTCAATTACGAAAGCAATAAACCTCACAGATTAGAAATGTAGGTTGTGTAAGTAAAAGTTATTACCTGGAACACAAATTTAGACAAGAAAGGACATTCTATCAGGGGAGCAAAAACAAGAAGGTCTACACCATCAATTGCGCCAATTTTCAACTCTAGTCGCTTGAGTTTATTTAATACAGGAAATTTAGCATCTTCAAGACTATTCTACATAAACCAAAGAAAAAGTAAATCAGCACAGCTAAGCTAAAAAGTAAAAAGAAAAAAATAAAAATGAAGGGGAAGAGATCAAATGAATCAGTTAAACTTCCTAACCCCCATGAAGGTTGTCATCTGCAACGCAAGGCTTTCTAGCTGAGAAAGATAGCTTGAAATCTCCAAAAACTTATATATTAGATAATCACAATATTCACCCCTGATAAACAAATCAATAGGTTGCTTGACATTCTTAAATCATAGCAAAAATCTCAATACTTTCCACATTGAAGCAATAAATTATCTCCAAACGCTTCAATTTTTGAGTGATAGATCAGGAACCTTCAGATTTACAAGACTATCGGAATTTTTCTACAATAATGGACAGTTAGTTAAGAAGTACTCGAGAACTTGTCCATTTACATTGACGTCTGTCAGCAGGAGATTGGTCAGGAAGTTGCAGCTAGTAAACCCAAGAGACAATGAATTTAGGTGATTTGTAATACCATATGGGTCAGGAAAATTGTAATTCTCTTCCTCTCTACTACCTGTGATACTTTCTGACAAGTCTAACTCAAGCCTTCTAACTCTCTTTTCCAATTGTCAATATCAAGTCTACAAGTTTCATCAAGATCAAATTGAACTCTGAATTCATCTATAGTTGGCGCGTTATGCAATTTCAAGACTTGATTAACCCAACTCAAATACAATCGCCTTTCTACTTCAACTTCCTTTTCTCTGAGTTTAAGTCCATGTTTTATATGTAAGGAATCAAAGTTCAAACCAGTAATGTAAGTCCACGTGTATCTCCATCTCTTTGATAGCAGACTTGTTCTTTCCACTTCTTTCATTGTCAATAGTGACAAGATCGCAACGAGTACAACATCAGGAAGTCCACTAATGTGATCCTCTAAACACAACCCTCCTTTATCATCCTTTTCACTATTCCAATTAAAGATTAAAATTTATTAATAATAATAATAATTAAAAAAACTGTGAGATAACAGAAACACCATGGTAGTGCTGAATTTTTGTAACAAAATTTCTTCATTTATTTAAGAATAAAAAATATAAAAGAGATGGTACCTTGCGTTTTGAGCACAACATATTGAGTTGGTCTTTTCCATGGGATTTGAACAGTTTTCTGCATACAGGAGGAGAAGATGAACAGATTAGAGATATAAAACCCAAACAAGAGAGAAAAAGAGAGCAATTTTTGCTTGCTTTATTCGACCAGAAAAGGGGCCAATTTTATATACATTGTACCAACTTGGAAAGTAATAATACAGTAATACGTTTCCTTGTCTTACTAGGATTAAGGCAACTTGATACCCATTAAAAAAAAATTGATACACCTTTAAGGCAACTTGATATTTGGCACGGTCCTAGCCGCAAAAATAGAATACTCACCGGTTTTGCTGCAAGGCATATTTGAAAAAAATAATTTGTAAACAGTCATCATTTATTAGTAGAAAAAAATAAAAAATAATATTTACTAATTTGTAAACAGTCATCATTGTTTCACATTGACAATTAGGATGATGATGATGATGATACATTTATTAGTAGAAAAAAATAAAAAATAATATCTACTAATTTGTAAACAGTCATCATTGTTTCACATTGATAATAATAATAATAATAATAATAATAATAATAATAATAATAATAATAATAAAAACCGTGAGAAAACAGAAACAGCATAGTAGTGCTGAATTTTTGTAACCAAAATTCTTGATTTAAAAATAAAATATATAAAAGAGGCATGCAAATCCATACATAAGTAAAAAGATGGTACCTTGCGTTTTGAACACAACATATTGAGGTGGTTTTCTCCATGGGATTTGAACAGTTTTCTGCATACAGGAGGAGAAGATGAACTGATTAGAGATATAAAACCCAAACAAGAGAGAAAAAGAGAGCAATTTTTTGTTGTGTATAAACAAACAAGCACATTCATTAAGAGACCAATTTTTAAATTGGGTCTGTACAAACTTGGAAAGTAATAAGTTTCTTGTGTCTTACTAGGATTGAGCTCAATTGGCTCTGCTTTTCAGGTGGCTGAATGGTTGATCAGTGAAAATGGGTCAGGGTGTGGTGACGAAGGAGAAGGAGAGGAATGAAAATGGGTCTTAGGTTAGAGAGAGAGAAAAAAAGGTTCATCAGACCTCCGTATATAAATGTTACCAGTTATCAATTAAATCCATAATTCCATACTACTCAACAGCTCTAAACAAGACAAATTCTAACCAATCAACTTCATGACCTCATACAGATGTAGAACTTTGTCAAAACCAAAGCAAACAATCTCACTTTCTATTTTATATTAAACACCCAATTCACACTAGTACTCTTAAACTCTTTCTTTCACTTTCACATGCATCGTAGAAGCCAAATACCCACCTCGAAAAAACCCTCGAATTATTAAACACAATCTTCAATTCATAGTTCTTTATTGGAATATTAGGTATGACTTCAATTCTCTTCATATATATAACAGCCCTTTCTAAGTTTTCTCTGCAAAATCATTTATAAGTCCAAGGCAAGTTTCAGTCAACATTCCTTGAAAAGAAAGAAGAAGCCAGAATGATTGCCTTGTAACCTACATGATTTCAAGCAATACACTACGTGGAATAACAAGTAGCCAGCTGTAATTCCACTTGATTATCCAATTTATCCTGCCTTTTTTGTTCCAAGACTCTAAGGTAAGGGGTAAATAATCTATTTCAAGCATCCCATAAATTTTCAAAATTCAATAATCAACCAGACCAATGAAATTAGATTCAAATTGATCAAAAAGGAGATCAAAAATTCCAAAAACACCAAGGAAAAAAAAAGAAAAAAAAGATCAATTTCAGATTGGAAAAAGCGAAAAAGGAACCCAGTACCATAAATTGGAATTTGGATGAGTTAGTTACTTGTAATCTTTTCGGCGCAGCTCCTGATGAAATTGAAGCTAATATCCCAAACACAAAACCCAAATCTTATTCTTCGACTTCGAGCCTTCGAGGAGCGACAGGAGCCCTAGAACCCAATTCGTTTTTTCAATCTTTTTTTTCTTGATTCGAAAAACTTAAAAATGGGTAGAGAAATTCAGTGGCTAAAAAACAGCCGAACTGAACAGAATTGGGCCCATAAACCCAAGCGTTTTACTTCTATTATGGGCCAATATGTTTTTTTTTCTGTATCATCATTTTTTTTCTGTAGGATCTACTTTTATTTTGGGTCAAATTTTGAGGCCTAGTATAACTATATAGGTTGGGCCCCCAAATTTGGAGGCCATAGGCGACCGCCTAGTCCCAGGGCCGGCCCTGGCTCTCCCTATTCGTCCTTGCTCTCAATTGCTATATATGTTTATGTCGTGTATTTGTCTGTGAGTAGCAAGAAGGGTGTTTTTGTCTTTTCCATTCAATTCTAAATTTTTATACATGTAAATAATATATAATTGATGGACAAAATTGTAAAATTACACAAACGCACTGTTCATATTTTCTTTGCAAATATATATATTGTTTTTCAATCATCCAAATTTTGTTATATGAATTAAGACACATCTTGCAATATTGAGTTTTCTTCTACATTATGTTTAAATGTAATCTCTAGCTTCAAAAAATAATTTAGCCACAAAGAAATTTCTTATTTCTATGGAAAAATAATACCATAAAGAATAGATCAAGAATACTGAAGCCTTTTGGAAAAGTAGCACTTCTTTTCATCCTTCACTTACATCATTCAGGAAAGGAGACCTTCCGGTTCCAATAATAAATTTTTCTACATTATTTACGGTGCTATGGACCAGCCACCAAAAACACAATAAAATGCGAGGTTTAACAAACAGAACGGAGAGACTTCGGAGTCCCGTGATTATTAAATTATTTCAATTAGAAAATACAACGTGAACTTAATGCAGTAAATAAGTAGCTTTCTTGGATAAAATTTTTAATTTATTATTATTATTATTATTTTGTCTATGTTAAAGAGATATATTTATTAATTAAGAAACTGGACTACAATCATTCTGAATTTCCATCAACACAACTAGTGAGAGATTCGTAATATCCTCATGTACTAAGGCATTTAAAACAACAAACTTCGCTAGCAAGTGGGTAGCTCGAGCAAATGTTAGCGATAGTCGAATGAGATCGATCCATTAGCTGGAAGAAGAACATTTCTTGGCGTCCGACTCAAACACCCTTGAAGTCCATTGTTGAAGAAGACCCATAGCCCAAGCAACTGTGGTTGCTTTTGCCATCGATGCATCTCCAATATGCTCAAATTTGGTGGCAGCAGCCAGCAGCATGTACTACCTCTTCATTACAGTTCCGCACCAATAGCGATACATTCTCCGGCCTTACATGTAAAAGAACCCGAAGGTGGCGCCATCCAAACTCTAACCCCTATGGCTCATCATTATGAAAAATTGCTTCATTATAGTCATGCACCCTTTGGACCTCCTAGACACGATCCACATCAAGATTCACCACCATTCTTGCCTCCACATTGCATCATTGAAAACATAGCTATTTCTAGCTTTGTATAAGCAGGTTCGTAACAACCTAAATAATGTAGAAACAATTATTATTGGAACCGAAAGTTTTATCTTACTAAATGATGCAAGTGATGGATGAAAAGTAGTGCTGCTTTTCCAAAAGGCTTTAGTTTCATGTATTCTTGATATATTCTTTATAGTATTATTTTACCAGAGAAGCAAGGAATTTCTTTGTCCCTAAATTGTTTTTTGAAGCTAGAGGTTGCATTTAAACATAATGCAGAAAAAAAAAAAATCAATATTGCAAGATGTGTCTTAATTTATATAACAAAAATTGGATGACTAGAAAATAATATATTTTCAAAGAAAATATGCCCAGAGTGTGAAATTGGGTAAAATTGAAACCAATTGAAACAAAATTGAAACCGATGGAAATGAAATCAAGAGTAATTTCAAAATGATCAACTCTTCCACCAATTGACAGATTGAAACAAAAATTAAAATCGATTGAAATGAAATCAAGAGTAATTTCAAAATGGTCGACTCTTCCACCTCCTTCTCAACGGTAGAGCAAAGCTTTTTTCAAAGTCCTCCCCATTTCTGCAAATCTTTATCGTTTATTCTATGATTTCTTTCAAATCTTCTTCCGCTCATTTGTAGTCCATGTATGTTTTAATTCGAAACAGAAATTTATTATTTGTTGTGAAGTGTTCGATAGTGATTGAAAGCATGTTTACCAATGCAAATTATGTTGTAAAATTTTTAGAATAATTTGAAAACATGTTTAGTAAAAAAATGTTGTAAAATTAAGAGACCAATTATTGTTTTTGCCTTTTTGTTAGGTTTATATAGCACACTCTAAAACTAGGGTGTCATGTGAGTGAATAATTTGAAAAAAAATAAATGTGAGTGAATAATATGGTATAAAATATTATTTGACCATTGACTTCTAATAATGTTGTAAAGACTAGTCTAAAAAATTTGACACGACCTATTTATTATTTACTGCTGATTGGTCAACAAGTTAATTTTATTTTTTTATCAACTTAAAATTCAACATTCACAAGTCGCCTGAAATGGTTTCAATATTTAATTAAACATTTGACAAAGTAATTTACAAATTTATATTTATTTACTAATAGTGAGTTAGTATCCTTGGTAATTAAAACGGGCCAATTTGTATGAAACAAACTCGTTAACTGAAAGGTTCATATAATTATAATTTTAGCCTAACTTAGATATTTTTATTAACAAGGTTCAAAGTGTTCATAAATTACAAGAGGGTTGTTGACAACTGTGGAATCTCAGTGTAAATACTCTCCAATAATTAAGGGTTTGCTTGATTTGTAACTGTTGATGCGGAAATCCTCACGACTCAGAACGACGGCATTTACCTATAAAACAAAGGGACGTCACCTCGAATGGCACCGGTGGGGTGCCAGCTGAGGACCCTCCGACGATCAAGTTAGTCCTTGTAATCGTATCACATAATAATTATGTATATCATGTTTAGAGGTTTTTTCTTGTACATTCTTTAATGGCTTGGTGCCTTATTTATGTCCGTCGATTGGAATCAAATTGATCCCGCGGGAGATCCGCTTGTGCGAGATCAGAGGAGATCGTTTGTTACCAGATTTGTCGGGGATAAGATTTACTCCTTTGACTTCCTCAAATTGTGCCAAGGTTATCCTCACTCTGTTGAACCACGTCGTCATTCATTATCCTGGATAAGAAATGTCATCATTCTTATCTGAGGAAAATCTTTATCTCTGATAACGAAATATGTCTAAGAGGTCTGGCGGCTGGTCAAGGTAGGTTATTTTTCTCTATTAGTTGCTGTGATACCCCTCGGATCCGAGACACGGGTTGATTAGGCCCGGGCCCAAACCCGAGGGAATATCAAACAATTAATATGTAATACGAACACAGATGACAAAAATGAATTTAAGAAAAAAAATAAAGTTTAAGCTGGAAGAAACTAAAAGTAAAATCCTTTATAATTAAATACTTAGAATCTGATAACCCAAACTCCAAAACTCCTTCACTTTATAACTCGGGAATCCATCTCTAGTGGACCCCTATTAAACATCCAAACGGAAGATAAAACAACTGTAATAAACATTCAGAAATAAAGCTATGGAGAGAATCCTACGTTGTCGGAAGAGTGAATAGAGACCTCTGCTCAGCACGAACACGTCTAAGCCTGGAACTATCGTGTACCTGAAAAATAGAAGTGGGTCAGGCCCACGCGCAAGTTCTATACTACTACAATCCAAACAGAGGCCCGATACGCATGTACATCCTAAACAATTCAACAATAGTTAATAGTCCGTAAATATATATATAGTCACACTAAAGGACTCTCACTGGACTACAGGCCGGTCTCAACCTGAATAGAGGTAACATGCTAAAACGCACACAAAGTGGGCATATGTACTTATACCTAAACAGGGTACACCTCTAACCATCGTATCCAGCTATGCATCCCAATGCATATACGCTCCCTAACCGTCGATCCTGAGACTTAAGCTCATTTCGAGGTAACATAACAATATATTTAAAATCCATCCTGAATCCTAGTAGTGCAGCTCAACTAGTTGTTGCCATGACACTATAATCAATAGGACTTAACTTTTAGTTAATCCAATTCTTAATCCAGAGTAGGTAGGTTTTGGTATTTTGAAACCAAACCGTCCCTAGTATACCACCGTACCATACCGGTGTATATTATCCAATCATCCAGCAGTTGATAATATCAACAATTAAAGCAAACATCAGCTAAATCCATATTCCCATTACTGATACTAACAAGCATAGTGTAAGCATCATTAAACAGAATCAGCTATATACATAAACAGATTTAGTTTTTTATATCCAACACTGATACTAACAGGCATAATGTAAGCATCGAGAACCATAGTCACTGTATATACACAAACCTACTCAGTTTAGGTTGTTTCATTCAATTAGGTATAATGATAAAATTATTTCAAATTATCATTCATCACTTAACAGTTGATATTACAGACATTTAGAGTAAACATCAACAAAGTCCATTCCCCCAATAGTGGCTACTAACAATAATCATATAATCATCCACTAATCTATAATAAGCATGATAAACTGTATACATAAACATACTTAGTTCATATTGCTCCTTAATTAAATAAATTGTTAAAGTTAAACCATAGTTCCATTAAACATCAACCCATCCCCAGATAGCATAATTGAAATACCTGATCATAGTGTATTGTGATACAAGCCTCAATTATATTATCCGTCACAGGAAAATTTGTTAACAAAAGGATTAAACAATTTAAATTTTCCAACTCTAACAATCTGTGTATTAATTTGTCTAAACCATATACTGTCCAAGCTACCATAAGTAATTAGTTTTTTAACATGACTCTTGGAGCCTTAATACAACTATAGGCTTTATAAAAACTTCCCACATACAAACCTAAACCTCATCTGAAATCTCCAAAATTCATACACTGCATGCAAAAACGTACAGAAAATGAAAATAAAAGAAAAATGGAGCAAAGAGCCTGCTCCAAAATTGTGGAGTTGGCTCTTTTGCCCTTGGAGCCGGCTCCCACACCTTG